TGAGCCATCTCCCCGGCCCTGAGCCATCTCCGCGGCCCAGGATCTTTAAAGATTTAAAAAAAATTTTTTTTCACATTCTATAGGGATTTAAAGTTTAGTATATCAACGACTGATGGAGAAAATACCTGTTCCATGTTATGTCTAAGGCGCTCGATATTCAGACAGATAGTGAGAGTAAGCTCCACTGCCTATGTTATAGGGTAATAATATCATTAAGCTTCTCTTCTGGAGGGTTAACGACTTAAGTTTGCAAACCAAAAATTAGAAAAAAAGAAGAGCTACAAGGATAGCCAACATTGTGGTCCTAACCCTTCAAGGTCAGTGAGGACTCAGGACGTAACAGAACCTGTACTGTAACATCCTGTAGTTCAGTAGTGTCCCAAATCTTCTGATCAAGGAGTTTACGGGGCCACAGAAAGTGATCGATGATGTACAGTGTGCCTAAGGAGAGTCACATGGAGAGAAAACATTCTCTCAGGCTTTCACAGACAGCAAATTGGTCAAGCAATGGCCATGACTCACCCACATGGCTGACACTGACAGAGGATCTACAAACTGGGGAGGGCCTGCCTATTAGCTCAGTTAAGTGACTGCTTAAACAAAGCAATCAAGATGCTGTGGTTCCATCCCCAGGTCCTCAAGCCTTACCAGACCTATCTGAAGGCATCTTGGGCCAGCCAAAAAAAACCAAAAAAACAAAAACAAAAACAAAAAAAACCCCAAAAAACACTACAAACTGCAGTACAGGGTTTCAGGATAAATCCTGAGAGGATTTGACTGACCTTGTCAGATAAAAAAATTACATTTTTTGATATATAGGTCTTGCTTTATCTTGGTCTTAGCCATCCAGCAGAAAAGTATAAAAGTGAGGTATAAAAAGTAAAGCCAGGGGCTAGTGAGATGGCTCAGTGGTCTAAAGCACCTACTTGGAACAAGCTTAGCAAAGCACAGGGACTGTGGTTCAATCCCCCAGCACCACATGCCAGCCAGCCCGCCCCTGGTGGGCTGAGCTGGCCACACACACACACACACACACACACACGCGCGCGCACGCGCACACACACACAAATAAATAAAAAATTTAAAAAAAAAGTAAAGCCATATTAATATGCTGAACTGTAAAAGGCTCAAGTCAACAACTCCTGACACTGCCAGTCCTGCAGATAACCCACTACTATTATAGACTACTGGACTATATTGGATTACTTTGCTGAATTCATGCATCTACATTATATGAATGGCAATGGAATACCCATCTCTGACAAAAGTAAACAAAAAAGGGGGATATAAATGAAGGACCATTTCTTTTATTATTATTATTTTTTTAAATTTTATTTTATTTTC